TGAAACAAATACTTCCATTCAATCACAGTAAACCGAAATCGTAAGATTCTAATGCACTCCACGTAAATTGAAAACTAATTTAAAATGAGTATATAAAAAAAAAAAAAACAAGAACATTTAACCGATTATTTTATGAAAAAAAAAAAATAATTATTACTGAATATACTTACCCATTGTGTTGGTGTGTGTTTATGTGCGTAAGATTCATCAGTCGTATTCGAGGAGTTGTTTCGAGGTTCACTACAGATTTCCAAATGTTGATCGTAGGTCATAACTTAAAAAGTTCCTCTCTAGTTTTTGGGAAAAAAAGAAAGTCAAGAAAACTAGGTAGGGATTAGAAAATGGCTTATAGTAGAGGTACTCAACTTGTTATTTCTTTCTTCGAAGACCACCGCATATCAAACTGACTGTACATTGAGCGCCGTTTGAAAAAATAAATAATAATTGGACAAAGTTCACAGGGTCGTTCACAAGAACTATAGATAAAGAAAAAAAATAAATAAAACGAAAACGTTAAAAGTTTTATCTAATAAATAACATTGATACGAAGAGTTTAGTTTCGATTTAAAGAAAAAAAAAAAAGAAGGAAATAAAATAATATTACCAAATTTATCAATTCATACTTCTAATTAAATAATTGATCAAATCTTATATATTTTGTTCGCAAATTTATATGTTAATTATTATTACGTATAGATAATATTTATATTTTTATGCATTTACAATTAAAAGAAAACAAAAAATTACAACAATGTTTTTCAGTAATATTTTTTTTTATCCAATACGAATCACTAATAAATCATGTTACCATCAATGGATACATATGTAAATATAATAGACTAAAAAGATGAGTCAACATACTTAGCCATACCAACTCTATTGTTAAATTATTCGCTAGAGGATTAAACGATAAATGGTTGGGGATTTTCCGGCGCGTTTCTCTTACTGTTGTATTATAGTTTATTCTTTCTTCACTATTGTTGTTGAAATTGAATACATATTTCTACGAAATGATAATAGGTTTCCTAAAAATTGTCTTTTTTCCATTCAATCTATTTTTCTATCCATCTATACGTTGTAATTTCTCTTATCTATTTGCACGCTCTTCAACCATGGATCAATATGAAAATCTGATAATAGCTGTTATATGTTAAACGACCTCTGACGATACACACACAACAGATAAACGATAACGTTATAAAGAAAAAATTATTTCAAACTGATATTACCTTTCTTCATTATCTAACGATCATTTTGATTGCACATTTTTCTGATATATTCTATGAACAAATTTAATAAATATAAATAAAAAGTAAATGTTTCGTAAAAATTCTACATTAAATAATATTATATTTTAACGACAATTATCGTTTTGTTAATATTTATTTATTAGTATTTAAAATGTGATTTTATTCGTTATTTAAGTTAATATCCCAAAATGAACAATTATTCACATTATTGTTCGTACAAATATCATTTTTATTAAATGTCAGTTGTTAGACTGATTTTAAATATACGAATTAAGGTATACATAGATTGTCAATAGGTCTTATGTTAAACAGATTGAATGCATAAAGAGAATAATTGTTTCTAAATTTATTGGTCATTTCTATAACTACACTTTATCTCAAACTACATAATGGATTAGCATGATGGGAAAAGACATCGAATAAAACAAAATGGTCACTTACGTATTTGCACGTTTTATTATTTTCAAATGTTGCTTAGAACCTGAAGATATTCTTTCATAATCTAATATAATTAATTAATGATAATTAAGTTTAACATTAACGCCTGACAACGACGAAGTAAAGATTAAATATATATAT